ATGTTGCCAGGGATGGGGCAGCCACCACCTCTCTGGGCAACCTGTGCCAGTGTTTTGCTGCTAAATAAACAAGTTGGCCCATGTTTTCAAATCACTCTGGAGTAATAGCATAAGAATCAGATAAAATCATCCCTTTGGGGTGAGAGTTAACTTAAAAATAAAAATAAACCATCAAATCTTTTTCCTCTTCAATTGAATTTCTAGTAACACTACATGAAGATGACTATTGGACTATCGGAGCAATGAACCTTAAAAAAAATGACACTCGCTTGGGAAAAATTGCTCATACCTAAAATCATAAATATATTTTTCAACCTTCTGCTTTTCAGTGCTCTGAGACTGAGTTCAAGATGATAAGGAACCTAAGAAAGCTGTAAGTCTTTTTTTCCTGTCAATCCCAAATGGCATGCTTGTCTACTTTTTCTACCCGGAAATTTTTTCCGGTCACAAAAAAAAAAAAAAAAAAAAAAAAAAAAAAAAAAAAAAAAAAAAAAAAAAAAAAAAAAAAAAAAAAAAAAAAAAAAAAAAAAAAAAAAAAAAAAAAAAAAAAAAAAAAAAAAAAAAAAAAAAAAAAAAAAAAAAAAAAAAAAAAAAAAAAAAAAAAAAAAAAAAAAAAAAAAAAAAAAAAAAAAAAAAAAAAAAAAAAAAAAAAAAAAAAAAAAAAAAAAAAAAAAAAAAAAAAAAAAAAAAAAAAAAAAAAAAAAAAAAAAAAAAAAAAAAAAAAAAAAAAAAAAAAAAAAAAAAAAAAAAAAAAAAAAAAAAAAAAAAAAAAAAAAAAAAAAAAAAAAAAAAAAAAAAAAAAAAAAAAAAAAAAAAAAAAAAAAAAAAAAAAAAAAAAAAAAAAAAAAAAAAAAAAAAAAAAAAAAAAAAAAAAAAAAAAAAAAAAAAAAAAAAAAAAAAAAAAAAAAAAAAAAAAAAAAAAAAAAAAAAAAAAAAAAAAAAAAAAAAAAAAAAAAAAAAAAAAAAAAAAAAAAAAAAAAAAAAAAAAAAAAAAAAAAAAAAAAAAAAAAAAAAAAAAAAAAAAAAAAAAAAAAAAAAAAAAAAAAAAAAAAAAAAAAAAAAAAAAAAAAAAAAAAAAAAAAAAAAAAAAAAAAAAAAAAAAAAAAAAAAAAAAAAAAAAAAAAAAAAAAAAAAAAAAAAAAAAAAAAAAAAAAAAAAAAAAAAAAAAAAAAAAAAAAAAAAAAAAAAAAAAAAAAAAAAAAAAATCTGGACATTCTTTCAGTACTCCCAGACACAGGCTACTGCAGTAAGGTCATCAGCAGAGCTTGGTCTACCTGATAACGGCAAGTAACCAATCAGCCAAATAGGCACTCTGCATATTCAGATCAACTGCACATACGTTGCTCTCTCTAGAGTTACAATGACATAAGGCTTTTCTCTAGACAATAAATATGACCTAAGATCCATGGTTCATACCTTCTCAGCAATGAAACTGGGAGTTGACAAAATTCTTCAGAAAACTTGCATTGGGAAGATATTTGTTATTTTGCACAAATTTGCACAAATTTTTCAGTCATAAAATATCCTGGGTTTTCTACCTTGATTATTGTGTTCTAACAGGAATATGTCTCCCTCAGAAAAAGTATACATGAGCACACCGAAGTATAGAAGTTATTAAATTTGCAGCATAAATTTCCAGTGATACGTACTAAACTTTCATGACATAGGTAGCAAAACTTTTTTATTATAAAAGTTCAATGCTCTAAAATACATACAATCATATTTTATGTATTTCATGTCGAGGGACCGCCCCTCTATTCCACTCTGGTGAGACCCCACCTGGAGTACTGTGTCCAGCTCAGGGGACCTCAGCACAGGAAAGACATGGACCTGTTGGAGCAGGTCAGGAGGAAGGCCACCAAAATGATCAGATGGATGGGACACCTCTCCTAGTAGGACCGGCAGAGAGAATAGTGGTTGTTCAGCCTGGAGAAGAAGCCCCCTGGCTGCAATAAGGGGACATCTTATTGCAGCCTTTCAGTACTTAAAGGGAGCTTATAAGAAAGATGGGGACAGACTTTTTAGCAGGGCCTGTTGCGATAGGACAAGGGGCAATGGTTTTAAACTAAAAGGGGCAGATTTAGACTAGTTATGAAATTTGTCACAATGAGGGTGGTGAAACACTGACATATGTTGCCCAGAGAGGTGGTAGATGCCCCATCCCTGGAAAGAAATTACTCAAGGTCAGGTTGGACGGGGCTCTGAGCAACCTGATCTAGTTGAAGATGTCCCTGCTGATTGGAGGGAGGTTGGATTAGATGGCCTTAAAAGGTCCCTTCCAACCCAAACTGTTCTGTGATTCTATGATTCTATACTTTTAGTGATAGTATCATTTTACTTTGATTTGATTTTTTTCCTTAAAAATACCTGAAAATTGATTAATATAAGAAATAGCTTTAGAAAACTGCTCTACCAAACTCAACCACAAAAAGACATATAAAGACATGAGTGCCCTTTAGCACTCTGTAATTTATTTAATTACATAAATAGCCAGAAGTCTGCACATTTCCATGCAGACTAAAAGTATCCATATGTGGAACTGCTCCAAAAGGGTTATCATATTTTAAATTGACAACTTGACTTCAATGTACACATGCCTGTAGATTTTCCTGAGTGCTTGAAGTAATAGTTTCAAAACCACAGAGTGTTATGTGCAGTGTTGGTCTCCCACTGAGGCCCATAAAAACATCTTAATTTAGCCTCACAGAGCATAGTCAGTAAGACTATGTACCTGAACTGCACAAACATAAGATTCCCACTGTTGTTTCTTTGAACTAAACTTGTGAAGAGGGCAAATACGAGCAGTGCAATACCACAGATTTTGCTCCAGTAAGAACCTAGGGCTTGGTCCACAAGAAATAAACTTCTTGAACTCATTCTGCTAGTAAGGGCTTTCACAATCAAGTACAGTTGCTTCACTGACCATGGCACAGCAGAACTATTGCACCATCACAACAACCACAATACCATATTTATAGTCCTTAAATATTAACTTAAAGCTTTGTTGCAAACTCCAGGCTGCAAATACTGCTACAAAAAGCTCTGAATTTTACTTGGAAAATCTCAGGTGAGAAAGAGAAAGGAAACAAATTAGATAAAGCCTCTCATTGTTCACAAATTCAGTGCAACATTGAAATACAACTGTTCTGCACTTCTTGTCTTCTTTATCATTTTTCGTATGCCAGACACATCCTCGTGGTGCATGTGTGCATGCTTTTTTGTGCATCACTGTTTGCTGAAGAGACTCAAACTCTATGTAAATGGCTTAGAGAGATCTACTAGGACAACTGAGGCTGCCTGGAAATAAAACTTGTGAAAGCATCAAGCATCAAACATAGAATATGTTTACACAAAAACTCTTCTTTGACACTGTTCTGAAGAGATGCAAAGGCTAGCTTTAAAACAGGTTTCCTATATCACAGAATCACAGAATCACAGAAACATGGAATGGTAGGGGTTGGAAGGGACCTCTGAAGATCATCTGGTCCACCCCCCCTGCCAAGGCAGGATCACCTAGGGCAGGTTGCACAGGAACACGTCCAGTCAGGTTTTGAAGGTCTCCAGAGAAAGAGACTCCACAATCTCTCTGGGCAGCCTGTTCCAGTGCTCCGTCACCCTCACAGTAAAGAAGCTTTTCGTCACGTTGAGGTGGAACTTCCTGTGCTGCAGTTTATGCCCATTGCCCCTCGTCCTATCCCTGGGCACTACTGAAAAGAGACAGGTTCCACCGCCCTGACAGCCACCCTTCAGATATTTATAGACATTGATAAGGTCCCCTCTCAGCCTTCTCTTCTCCAGACTAAACAGTCCCAGGTCTCTCAGCCTTTCCTCATACGAGAGATGTTCCAGTCCCTTAATCATCCTCGTAGCCCTCTGTTAGACTCTCTCCAAAAGTTCCCTATCTCTCCTGAACTGGGGAACCCAGAACTGGACACAATACTCCAGATGAGGCCTCACCAGCACAGAGTGGAGGGGGAAGATAACCCCTCTCAACCTGCTGGTTACACTCTTCTTAATGCACCCCAGGATACTATTGGCCCTCTTGGCCACCAGGGCACATTGCTGTCCCATGGATAACTTCTCGTCTACCAGGACTCCAAGGTCCTTCTCCATGGAGCTGCTTTCCAGCAGGTCAACCCCAAACCTGTACTGGTGCATGGGGTTGTTCCTCCCCAGGTACAGAACTCTACACTTGTCCTTGTTAAATTTCATGAGGTTCCCCTCCGCCCAACTCTCCAGTCTGTCCAGATGCCATATAGTGGCAGTAACATAGTCACATGAACTTGGAGCTCAGCAAGGGCCAGATGATACTTCTGTGAAGAGCAACTTTAAAAGAGTATTTTTAATCTTGACTTGGTATATTTTAGGTATGTCAGCTGCACTATGCAGTCACTTATTTGACTACGGGGAATGTACAAATTAAGTAAATTGGAATTATTGTTGGAATTAATAATTCCAAAATACATTTAAAAGTTATTTGGAAACACTAACTCTGTTCTTGGAATGGCATCTTTAAGAGTTGACTTTAAATGCTGCCACTGCATCACCACAAAGAAAAGCTGGAGAAGACCAGGTTCTATGTACATTGGTATGCACTGTAATAGTGTGCAGTCTGTTGTTCTTAGCCTCTCTAATAACACTGCTAAAGAACATTCCACAATTTTCCTAAACCCAAATAAGATCTATATGGCAAACAATTTCAAAATGAAAGTAAATTATGTAAACATTCAACAGTACAATGTTCAAATTAAAACAAAGGTTCCTAACAAGAATTCAATGTTTTTCAAGAGAAACATGCTTTCACACTCTAACTTACATTTAGACAGAAACTTTTCTGTATCAGATTCTAATAGACAAATCAACTGAAGATATTTCTAAAGTCATGTGAACTTAGGAAAGAAAACTATGTGACTTTAGGGACAGTAAAACATGGAAATAGTTCTGTTAGCTGAAAATTCATGCCATTTATTTATTTTGTTTAAAATTAAATCTTGTCTTACCATCATGATTGGGATTTCCCAAAGTCCATGGCTCATCTGAGTCAAAATGAGTGTCTCCCCCAATTCCTGGCCCAGGGAAATATGCATGGGCCAAAAATCCTCCCTCCCCATCAAAGGGAGAACTGTCACCATGAAAGCCTGATGCAAAAATGATTGTAATATCCACGTCCCTCTTGCCATTTTCTAATTCAACATAAGGAACTTCTTCAAATGTTAGAGGAGTTACATTCTGCCACACATCAAAGGCACGGCGAATGGCTTTACGAGTTTCAGCATCACCTACTTTTGGAGTGACGTTCTTTATGCTGAAAGAAACAGAGAAACATTAAATAGATTAAATTTGACAGAGTGGTAAGTGACACTGCTTACATCCATTTTCTCCTAATTATGAAAAGCACTGTGCTTTTAATAAAATGTGCTAGTCTGGCATTATATCCTTTAGGAAGAGTATTTTTAAACAAGTTGGTGCAAAATTATTGTGCCAATCTGTGTAGTCCTTTATGCTAGAACTTGTTATATGTTAGCTAGGTTACTCTCAGCAGTACAAATATCTTATTTTTAGAAGATTAAAAATATATTAAAAATAAAAAATTCTTAACAGTGGGATAACAAGATTAATCAACCACTGACTGTTTACCTCCTGGACCACAATTAGAATCCATCACAGTTAAAGGACAGAATGTAATTTCTGATCAAAAGAAAAATGATTCCTATTATATGAAATTTTAACTTCTTAGTGAATCCATTAACAACAGCAGAACTCCATACTGTGACCACCAACCAGTATTCATAAAACCTTAAAAACATTTCTTGTTGCATTTGTAACTAACTGGATTGATAATTCCTGATCAGAAACAATACCTTTTTATTTCAGTACAGGCTAAGATTTATGATTTGATTACTTCTATAAATCTTACATAAAACTGTAGAATTCATCAGAGAAATCATTTTATAGAAGACAATTATGTGCTAATTCAGAAATATATATTTAAACAGAAATTTCAGTCTCCACTACTTCTTCAAATGACACACAAAAAAGAAAGGCAAAAAACCATCGGAATTACATCTGAGTTCAGAGTCGCAGTTACTAGTAAAATTATAGTGGATTCATCTTTAAAAAGAAAAACTTCATTTTTATTTTATTATTGAATTCAAGAAAATAATGGCAATAACCAATTTCAGACCTACCCAACTTCTTCCATCATTTTTACTCAATTCATACGGCCAGCAAAAACTCGTTAGGTTTGTGTCTGTTCTGAAGCTGCTGCAATCAGATGCTCTTTGTTCATTTGACATGTACTTGATTGAATGTCCAGCACAAATTTCAGAAATTACATACTTCCAGAGTACATGTGAGATTTATGGAAGTTTACATAGCCTCACGCTAGCTTCTATGAAGAAAATTAACTCTACCCTGGCTGAAACCAGGACAACATAGCATGGCATGTTAATGGAGAGCAAAAATATTTTTATGAATAAACCTGGAATGATTGATTTGTTTGATACATTAAGTGTGCTTGATTATATGGCATTGTAAGTTTATACAAATGGAATAAATCCTTCAAGTCTAATTTTATAGATTTGACGCATATATAATATTTTGTTCATAGGGTCATGATGAAAACATAGTCACCTATTTTGACTTCCACTCAAAAATATTCTTGTATTGAGTTCAATAATGTTAGTCTAACCAAAGCATTATCTGTTTTTAGCTAATATGTAATGTTCAAAATAGATATCAAGAAAGATTAGAAGATAGCATACTGTAGATAATCCACTGCTTCCCTTCATCTTCTGTTCAAAAGATGATTTAACCAGGTATTACATACTTGTGCCTTTTTTCTAATTTGTCTGGCTTGTAACATGGGTTCTTGTTCTGACTTTCTCTTTCACATTCAAGAGCTTTAAGAACATATTTTGCCCTAAAAAGATATATTTAAAAGACATTTCTGCACTGCAAAGTCATTACCTTTTTGTTGTCTCTTTGCAATTAAAAAGTTTGAACTCTTTAAATCTCTTATTATAAGACATTTTCTTCAGTTTATTAAATATTTTCTGTGATTTTTATTGAGCTCACTCCAATTTTGCAATATTCTTTTAAAAATGACTCAGAACTACAAAGTACTGCTGTACTGATCTCACTGTCAGAGAGAAAAAGTCCTCTCATTTGTAGGCATACCCTTACCCTACATGATGTAAATGTCATATGATTCAAATTGCTTTGTATGATGCCCTTTCTTCATAGTTATTTACTCATCAGTAATTTTATGATAAGTGTTGTGTTGATTTTCAGGTGATTAAAAAAGTATTGGATGCACGGGATCCACTATCAGTCCCTGCAGAACCCCTCTCTGAAAGCCCCCTCCTTTATGAATTACTTTTTTTGAGATGTTTTAGTTAGCAAGTTCATAAACTACTCATCCTGCGCCCTCTGGAATGCACAGTATTTTACAACTAGTGTCATGTGGCACTATATTAAAACACTTCACAAAGGCACACTTACTGCCACTACTAAAAACTTGACAACAGTTAACCTGTTGCTATGCTAAGAATACCACCTACAAAACTGATTAATTTTTGCTAGTCAGCCCTGCAGTGCAGTCTCGAAAGCACATAAGTTGTCTCAAGCACAGCTCATTGAAGGATTACAGCCTCTGTTATTTGCTTGATATAACGAATACAGCAAACGAACTAACAAGCTTTCACAGAAAATAGAATATGTCTGGCAAAACCAATATTTTGATGTAGGAAAAGTTAATCTGAAAGATACAGTTTATTATTTGTTATTGTTTTGTATTTAGGAATCTTAGTAATGGGTCAAATTCACACTTCAGGGTTATGTAAACAGAGCAAAAGGATGGTCTTATGCTGTTATATGTCATATAAGGAAATGGACAAGAACAGATTGGAATTTTGTATTGGTGGTAAATTGATTACTTGGTCTAAAAGGGTTTGATTCACATTTTAAACCTTATCACTTTGCATTTTCTTGCTTTTTCAGTGCACAGAATTAAGTTTCAGTCATTGATTACAAATGAAAAATTGATCCATTGTGCTGGTTTCACACATGTTAACTAGGGGTGATTGCCTATGATGGGAGACATTTTTCCAGGGGACTCAGCTATTGAGTTACATCCTACATCTCAAGGTTCATTGTCAAGAAGAAATATTTTTCAAAGCATACATTCTGTATTAAAACAAGACAGATTTCTGGCTTCCAAAACAACCTTCTGGAGAGGGTAAGATTATACTGAAAAATGTAGCTTCTAAAAGACGTTAAATAAATCAATAGTTACTCCAATATAAGAGCATTTCCAGAAAATGATGGTCCATTTTACTGTGTTTAACACAAACCAAGTTCAATCCTAAAAGGGCAAATTCCAATACTCTGTGTAACACAAATGTTGAAGTTGCCTAGCTGGGAACTTTGTTTATAATAATTCACCAATGTAGATGTATGAAATACAATTTATTTTACATTTCTTTCATGGTGTTGATAATATAACCTCCAAAGCAGAGGTACGGTAAGAAGATCAATCCATAAGACAATATATTAACTTCAAGAGATTCAAGGACTCGCCTCTTAAAAGTCTTCTGCTTAGACATATCACTGCAATAGCAAATAAACTCTTATATGAACTCTTTTCATATTACATTTGGCTTTACATTTTAAAGCCAGCAGTCATCTGAAATAGTGGTAACTGTCACTGGTAACAAAAAAAAGAGGAACTGGATTATCTTACACTCAACATGTCCAGATAATGGAGGTCAAATAAAAATAAGTAGATGACATGCCAACTCAGAACCACTGTTATTGTAAGGTGGCAGCACAGCAAGACAAAGGCCATCACAATAAGAAAACAAGATTTACGAAGTATATTATTTCCTAACCTCCAAGTCTAGTGATCATTTCACAGAAAAGATGTTCAACAGAGAGAAAGATCCAATGCTGACCTTGACCAGATTGGCAGTGCAACCTTATAAAGAGGATGAGGAACATACAATTTCTTCCAAAGGGAAAGTATTTTGGCAAGCAAAAGATGATCTATAAGATGAAACATTCACTTCAATGTAGTTTTTTTTACAAACTAGTAAACTAAGTGATGCTTTGTATAAATTTTGAAAGCTATTATTCTTAGACAACCACAGCCATGTATCAACTGAATATAGTATTTTGTGGTTATTATTGCTGTTTGCTGCAAACATGGTTTTCAACCTGATAGTTGCTTTAGGCATTATAGGTTTTAAATACGTCTTGCACAAGAAGAATAAGGTTTCACCAGTGATACACACTTTTCACACTGATTTACTATTTTTACAGATTCCTAAAGTCTTGTTTTGGAGACTGTTATTCTGAAATTCTGGGTCCTATTGATTTTAGAAAAGCTTTGGCTTTTCCTTCCCCTCCCCCTCTTTCCCCAAAATATCCTCCAAAATTATCCATGTTTCAGTGACACATTTTTGGCTGTAACAGCTTCAGGAGCCTTGCAAGGCTGTCAGGATATACCTCACTTGGCTGTGGAAAATCAGTCATCTGAAATTTAAATACAGTACATTAAGTAACACATATTTGCCATTAAATTTCACTATTTTTTTTTCCTGAGCTGTCATTAGAACAGCTTGTTATATTTTTCACATAAATTGCTACAATTCTGTATATAAAATCAACCCTTCTGACCAATCTAGACCCAAGAGGCAGTTCAGCAAAGGCTAAACAAAGCTCAAAATGCATAAAGCTTATCATTACTCCTTACCTTAGCAGTAATGGCCTCCAAAAAAGTTGTAACAACTCAGTGACAGACTTCATGGCCTAAACACTTTGATACTTCTATTCTCCACTGCATATGATAAATACTGCTTTTAAATTGATTCTGTGCTCATTTGTGCATTAAAACCAGAGTACAAGATTAATTAGACTGAATATTAATGAGTGTTTGTGGAATTATTAGGTAATTACAATGATGCAAGACGGTATTTTATTTTTTTAGAACATAAATATATCAACTAAATATAAATGAGGAAAATACTTCTACAACGCCGTTTCTCTCCAAGATTTTCTTGGAGCAAAGTCACAAATTGGAATTCCCGTTCTAAAGAAAGAAAGGATACAGATGACAGAAGAGCAGGAAATTCAACTAAGTAGGTAAAAAGTTTCAGTCAGTAATTTGTTTGAAGTAAGACAATTATAGATCTGTATTTGATATGAAACAGTTAAGATAAAATGAATTGAAACATAGCTTAAATTTGAGTAACTTGTTGAAACTACTTTCTCATTGCCATTGCTGTAAATCAAACCCAAACTGAACCAAAGCTTTTCCTTTTTTTTAATCATTGTTTTTATTGAAATTAATAGATTATCTCTGGTCAAAGGTATATTTCATTTTGCACCATCATTTCTCTAAAGATATTTTCTATCAAGTTGCTTCATTAATCTCTCATTGATGTGGGTTTTCTTAGTTTCAACTTATTTCCAGTCTCACTTTGCTAACTCTTTGTAGCTATAACCTAAGAACGTTTCTCATGTAAAATGTGATCTTGGTTCATATAACTCCTGCTCCAGTTGATTAAACCCAAGTTGCTTTTGATTTTCTGTGACCACATTAAAAGTCAACCTGCTGCCATGTTGGAAAAAATTTATAATTCATAGATAATGTCTATCTATCTCTTTCACAAAGAAGAGAATTCCAAGATACAAACCCAAAATTAGCAAAATACTTGAGAGATAAACACTTTTATAGGAAAGATGTTCTAAGAAATCCCATGTCATAATTTAATACTGATTTTAAATGAATAAAATGCAACATAAACATTTACAAATATGGCATATTGATATTCAAATGTTTAATTATCTCAGGATTTCTGAAGTAGATAAATATTAAAGAAATGAGAACTGATATTTTACAATATTCAAATTTTATGTGAAAAAAACTGACACCAAAAATACATAGACTGAAGAACATTTTTTTGTTATTTACACTGCAAAAAGCGTAACTAACTGGCTTAGTGGATTGTTATGTAGGAATTCTCTCTCTACAATTGGTAGTGCTTTTTAGTGAGCTTTTTAGTGCTTTTCAGAGAACCTTGAAAACTTCTTCACCATGCCACTCAGAATGCTTTCCACATCTGGAGATGACACTTCTCAATATAAATCTGCATGCATTATCTACACTACTGTGTGCTCTGTGATACAGAGAAGCTAATAACTTCAAAATTTGTTACTGACTTAAAATGGTACAGTAGGATGCTACAGCATATAGTTAGGTATTTCCACTGCTCTAAGGTTTTGTAGGCTTCGTATATACATAGGGAAAAATTGTATTAAAGTGCAGCCCAATCCTGTAAATGTTTCTTGAATATTTCAAAATAAATTAGTCAGGTACAATTGAATTCAAGCATAGAATATTGCTAGAAGAATCAAATTGGAGTTTTTTCTTCCCCATGACAGCAAAATAAAGCAGAATAGCTTTTAAATTATTATTTTATTTTATATTGTTACGAGTTCTAAGTAATGGTTGTACTTCAAGGTAAAGCTTGGCTTTTCAGAGAGCATTCTCCAGTTTTATTTGCAAAAGTGTTCTGCAGACTGAATAATTTGACCAATTGACCAATGACTGGCTGCTGGAGTTAAAATTATGAATAGTATGCCCAGAATTCTGATGAAGAGGACTTTATATTCAATAATTCACTGCCTAAAAATGACTTATAAACATTTATGTTTATGCTGACTGCTTTATTGATTCACATTGTTGCTCCTTCTTTAAAGTACAGGATGATTTAGTTCCCTAGAAAAAGATAAGGTGATTGTTTCTTGAGAAAGACTCGTGTCTTTTTAAACACCACTTTAAAAAAAAAAATTAAAAATCCCTTAGTAGGTTTCATAGATTCCTTTTTTTCAATCTCTATAATGTTGAGAGATTGTTGTGTAACCTGATATGGTCTGAAACACTAAGGAAGAATCAAGACCCTATTATTAAGATATTTGTAGTTTGTTCTGTAATGGAGCTATAATTTTCATATACTTTAGATGTTCACATTCACTCCGATACTCCTCTGGCTGGTAAAAAACTTCAAATAATCATTTTCTATTTCTCTCTTTGTAAAAGTCATGTTAGTATATAACAAAAGTACTAATAATGTTTACAAGGTATACTGGCATGAACTATACCAGGTAGAAAAGATACAGTAAGTAACATTGTTGTGCAACTTCATTAAAAACAGAAATTCACTAGTTCAGATAAGCAGAAAGCTACATTCCCTGAGGGAGAGAAAGTCTAATTAATGCAGCACAGAGCCCATTCCATGCTGACGTTCCCAATACTGTGAATTTTTATTTTGATACTGTCTGCACACATATTGTTTTCTAAGAGTAACTATCACCTAAGTCCAAAATGTAATCTGTAGCCAAAAAGGACATAATTAATGTAAATTATAATAGTAGGTCCATCTTGAAATTTTGGGGAACTGTTTCAGCTTGAAAAATTGCAAACTGAAAATATGGAAAAGTGGAAAAAATATTATAAGTTGCATGTGTATCTGTTTTGATCCTCTTACCCATGATTACAGGGACAATCTAAGAGGAAATATATTCTGAACAACATTAATTAATTTAAATCTAATAGGTTCCAGGAACAATTCTTGCGTAAAAATACGTGACAGAAAATGCTAGAATAAAAATATAAGTAGACAGTTTAAAATGCATTTATATGTGATGTCAATCCTATTTTTCCATTAATAATGTCTTGATGTTTTGCCTGAAGTGATAATTATTTCATTTAAATCCAACATCTGAGGATATACTCTAAGGACAAGTAGCCAGAGACATACTAAGTGGTAAATGTAGCTTGTGGTCTCTTTCAAAGGGCTCCCCTCAGCACTGAAATGGCACCTGTTTGACAGTGATGCGTACAAAGAAGGGCTCCACATCTGCAGATTTCACAGAGACCAACAAGAGTTCATACATTTACAGTATTAAAATACTTTATTTAAATAAGCGACAAAGAAACAAGTTTGAAAAGCTTTGCCTTACCCTACTACAGTCAAAATCCTTGGCAAAAAACCCCATCAAATATTTTAGGAATACCCATTAACTGCTGTTAAGGTCTATGTTCTGCTCATCTGTCGAACTCTTTTTAATATATGTCCACAAAATACTTTTTTTTTGCTATTACCTTTCCTGTTCAGAAAAGCTGGTGAGTGCAGTCCTATGATAAGATAACTGTGAGGGATGGCATCTTTTTAAGTGTTTATTATGTGTTTCTGTTCTGTTGGGAGTGGGTGATGCTTGGTTTTGGGGGTGGTTTTTGTGCGGTTTTGGTTTTGTTTTCCAGAAAAGTGGAAGAGGTAGCAGACACTGATATGAGGGAGAAACCACTCTTTCTTTGGAGGAATTACTAAGCTTACTTAGTGGGCACACTTCAGACTACAAGGTTCGATTGGCCAGGAAGACACAGAATGCAGTTGGAAACCTGCAGGTTATAAAGAGAGAGAAGTGGCACTGAGAAAAATGGAGCAGGCAAATGATGCTACAGATATGATCCGAAGTTTAGGGAATAAAGCAACCTAAAATGTCATTCATTTAACTGGTATTAAGCCCATAAGCAGGGAATTGTTGGGAAGAGCAAAGCAAGTGAGGAGAAGCGTGGAAAGAATTTTATTTCTTTTTTGTTATTCTTACTTGTTTTGAATTATTTTTTAATTCAGAAAGCTTAATATTGCGGTTTTTTAATTCTAGTAAAATTTGGGGTCTATAATTCAAATGTCTTTTGGTCTGCAATTTACTACAAAAAATATTATAGACTTATTCACTTCAAAGCTCTGGTTGACTGGAGGTCTTGTCAAAGTGAGAGAGTGAGCATTTTACAAGAGGAAAGGCAGGAGGTAAAGAATTGCTATGTATTCTTCAAAGTGAGAAAGATTACTAGATAGTTGCCACGTAGTTTAATACCAGGCACCCTCATTTGTTATTATGTTTAATGCCTTGGGTGACAGTACAGAAGATATACAAGTGGTAGGATTTAGACTGTTGTAAAAAATCCTGTAATGAAATAGAGAATCAGACTCTGTACAAATCAGAGCGATAGAAAAACACACATATTTGTAGGTGACCATGCATATGGCATATGTGTGCACACATGCTACATTTAAATTTTAAAATGCAGATAAATTTAAAGTGCTGTAGGTGCATTCTTATTTTAACCAACTATACATTATATTTACACTAACAATAAAGGACTCCATCCAATGCAACATACTAATCTCAAGGCAGTCAGTTCTCTATTTCTTGAAGTTGTATCAGGGTGCAATGTCTTAAATTAGAATTTTCCAATTCAGACATAAGCTATAGTATTGACACAGAGTTACTAATAAAATTATCCCTTCACTGCAGTATGAAGAACAGTCTATATGACCATTAGAGATTATGAAGTTAAAATTCAGTACTTATATGGGTTCGTGAATAATGGCACCAGTTAATGAATTTGGAAACTATTTTATCCCTCAGAACTTATCCTTGTTAGATATTACAGAAATCCCAATAAGGCTGTATAAATTTTCAAATAGGCTGTATTGGAATCCTTGGTTTGCTGACAAATTATTAATTTTATATTATATACATGACACTTTCTTTGGTTGACAGAGCTCTACCAAGTACACAGTTTGCATCTAACTTCCCCTGTAAAGATCAGTTTTGATAGTAGGCAACACACTGTGTAAACTACATGCCAGACGTACACTCCTGCACATACTCCTATGCCCATCATCATGTAGGCAGGAAATTCTTGGGTCAGTCACTTACCAAATTATAATCAAATTCATTTGTACTTAGACCTGTAGGCACCTACATTTTGCAGAGACTGACTCCTTTCAATAACCTATTTTACATACTTTAATTAGAGATCTGAGTTTCATTACAGTGCTCCTAGTTTCAGAGCAATGTTCCCTGAGAAGTTGCCAAGAGGGTTGAAAAGTAAGGTTAACGACATATTGGGTGTTAAATTGATGCTGAAAGCTTCAGAGAATTTACCGGTTACTAAATGCATGAAATTTTAATCCAAGAAAATAATTTGGTTCTTATGTAGCACATACATACTTATCCAACAGGTATTCAAATCATGATTTTTATATCACATGTTAAGAATAAATTCTCAAAAAAATGAAAAATATTTCTGAAATTTGTATTTAATTTAAATTAAAAGTCAGCACTACTAGTGACGTTTATATAGCTACATGAATATCTCTGGTACCTGTAAGTGATATGTTTGTGTTGCCATTTCTGTCCTGTTAATGCATAGCGTTTCCGACGAATGTTAAATTTGGAGCTACCTCTTGTTTGGTCAGGCACACCACATCGAGGCTTCTTCATCCAGCTGCAAGAAACAGCACCACATCGTTAAAGCAATGAGAAAGAAAAATCATAACCACTGCACCCAACTAATAAAAACATCATACTTCTTTGAAGTTACAGTATTATCAATTTTGTGTGTACTTGCAACCAGGACTAAAAAAAGGAACTGTTACCTTGTTAGCAGATATATAGTTTGTGGAACTTCATTGCATCCCATGACATTCAGAAACCAGTTTCTTTGCTGTTATTTTTTCCTAGTTTTCATTTGCTACAACCTCTAAACATAGACATCACAACTGGATAAGTCTTTCTCAGTCAATAATTTATTCTGATTCATTCAAGGTATTAGAATCTGTACTACCCACTTGCTTGCTGAAGTCAAAGTATATACACAAAGATTTAGTCAAATCACTAGTTCCTAAGTCACAGAAATCACAGAAATCACAGAAA